AAAATATGAAACTAGATCCTATTTTACCTACTTAAAATAGTGAGTTTTTTCCTCTTACCAATATGTAATTCCTCACTGGTAACAATCTTTTTTTTTTTTTTTTTTTGCTTTGGCTGTTTTTTTCAGTTTTTAATTTATTTTATTTTTTTTAATTGAAGTACAGTTGATTTACAATGCTGTGCCAATCTCTGCTGTATAGCATAGTGGCTCAGTTATGCACATTTCCACATTTTAAAATATTCTTTCCCATTATGATTTATCACAGGATATTCAGTACAGTTCCCTGTGCTATCCATTAGGACCTTGCTGTGTGTCCATTCTAAATGTAACGGTCTGCATCTACCAGCTGCAAACCCCCAGTCCTTCCCTCCCCACCCGCCTCTCCCTTGGCAACCAGAAGCCTGTTTCCATGTCTGTGAATCCGTTTCCGTTTGTAGATAGGTTCATTTGTGCCATATTTTAGATTCCACATATAAGTGATATCATATGACATTTGTCTTTCTCTTTCTGACTTACTTCACTTTGTATGATAATCTCTGGTTGCAGTCATACCAACAATCTTTTCAACCTGCCTCGTCATTCTTCCATATTAATATATAATACTTTGCACTCGTATGACTGTGTGGAATATTTTTCAAAGAGCGTTCACCACACTCCGAGTCCCTGAAGGGAAAAACTGTGCTCTACTCCATTTTTTCTCTTTAGTGTCTCACATAGCAACTAGGACAAGTACACAGTCAGTTCACATTTGAGCTAGTGGATGAATAACTAAGAGATACCAGAAAACTGTCTGATCCAAAATGAGCCCAAAGAAAACTTGTGTATGATATCTCTAAAAGGAAAGCTGATGATGAGGGTGCATGCATGAATGAATGAATGAACAAACAAAACTGTAGAAAGGAAAATGAAATGGAGTCAGTTTACATTAAGCTAGATATCATGAAAAACCAGATGTGGGATTCCCAAACAAACGGATGTGGTAATTTCTGGAACAGACTGGAATTCCTCAACCCTCTTCAAGTGGAAGATGGCCTTTCAATGAGGGGCACCACTGGGAATGGAAAGACCCAGGCCTCTGACTGCAAACAAGTGGGAAGGGCAGAGAAGTAGAAGAATACTGGTAAACTTCACTTTATGACCAATGTGTAAGGGTTGCTAAAACTCTCCTAAAGACTTCTAAGATGGGGAAGAAGTAGGATTATTTAAGAGTTCCTAGGAAAGATTTCTTTCCCAGAAGTATCTCCCCTATACTTTCTAAAATCCCATCAGTTAAAATATTTTGTTTTAGTTTTCAATACATGGTTCCTTTCAGCTCAGCTGACACCAGCAATTAGTGTCAATGACAGCTAACCTCTCCTTCCCAGCTCCATGATTACATTAAAGAGAAGGATGCTAATCAAAATAAATCTATAGCATTTAAAGTCCAGCTTCCTAATGCCAAGTCCAGCAGACTTTCCATCATATCATGGCTTCACTAATACTTAGATCAGGGCCCTGCATATTCAACTGTCTATGGTCAGGTAATGTAAGTTAATGTTATGCAATATGATTGACAAGTAATGTATATCAGTGATGACTCGTTATCAAACAATATGGGATGGTGGAGACTACGTTAAGAGGAGAGTGTGTTGTGTGCCCTGTCTCAGGAGGGAGTCACTACTTAGTTTCAGAGTATCCCTGCTATGCAGAAATGTGGACCCAGTTTTGCCAAGACCTTTCAACTTTTCAAGAGAGGCTGAAAATCCGTATTTAAATATAAAATGTGCTATTTTTAAACATACCTGTGGCTAAAAGTCACTTTTTGGCTCCCAATTTGTAGACCCTGATCTAAATAAACAAGCAGCATTGAGAAAATACAAAGAGACAGGAGTGGGGGTTGTTTTGGCTAGAAAGAGGGAGGCAGAGTGAAAAGGAAGGAAATGGCAGGAAAGAGGTCCAGAAAGAAAGAAGAAGTCAAATTTCACCAACCTCAAATGGGTCCAGGCATCAAGAAGTTACGGTTTCTCAAGTAGCGACTTAAGTCATTAAAGCCTAAATGTCCCTTCTCTTAATCACATGCCTGAATTTCCAAAGTAGCAGCATTTTGATTCATCTTGTTAAGTGTGCTGATAGGGTCATCCCTTCAAAACCAGACCCAGGGGCCAGGATTGGGCGGGGAGGCTCTTGCCAACCAATGTCTTGTAGAGACATTGCCCGCCTCCCCCACTGCCTTGCAGGGTGTAACAACATCAGACTAGGAATCAGGACAGTTAATCCCAGGGTTTGTGTAAGGGGCTGTATGGTGATAACTCTGTTGGTTTACACTTCTAACAGAAGCCCATATAATCTAAAATCAAACTGCCTGTATCAAGAAAAAAAATTTTTTTTCACCAACCTCAAAACTTGGCCTAGGGACACCATACTGTCTTCAAGTCAGAGAACAAAAAGGAAGAGATGACCAAAAAAAAAATAAACCAAGGAGGGGGAGAAAAAGAACCAACTATTGAACACTTAGTAGATGGCAGATACTGCATCAATGCTTTCCACTGAGATATAGCATTGTGAGGGAAAAAACTCCTATTTGTGAAGACAAGAGGGAACTATATCAAAGCACTAACAGCTTATGTGTCAGATGATGACAGCCCCCTTTTTGGTTTCCCACAATTTTTAACCATAAGTATAACATAGTTGTATTAATTTTCTAATAAAAAAACAAATTTGACTGAAAGTTAAATAACTGGATTTCTGGGTAAAAATTCACCCATCCTACCATATAGAAAGTATATTACCATGCAATGTGAAGGATGTGCTGAGTCATATCTGACTCTTTGTGACACTTCGGACTGTAGTCCTGCAGATTCCTCCATGAATGGGATTTTTCAGGCAAGAATACTAGAGTGGATTGCCATTTCCTCCTCCAGGGAATCTTCCCAACCCGGGGATTGAACCTGCGTCTCCTGTATCTCCTGCATTGCAGGTGGATTCTTTACCTGCTAAGCCATCCGGGAAGACCCATACTATCACAGTCAAGTCAAACCATGTATTTAAATAGATGAAGAAAATATAACAACTCCAAGTGTATATAAATATGTAATCTTGATAAATGATAAAACCAGAAGGAAGAGAACATGAAAGAAACCATACAGGTGATGTAGACCACAGATAGTTTAAATAAGAATAGAAACATGTGAAATTACTAAGAATGGTATAGGTCATTTTCCCTCTTAATTATAAAGTCAACTACTAAGATGTTTTGTGTGTCTGGCCAGCATAACATAAAATGCAGAGTCCTCTTTTCTATAAAAGTATCCAGACATCTACCCATCTGTTACATACTTTTCTACATTTACTATAACACATTGTTTTCTTTCTTTTAGGCATGTATTTTTATTTAAACAATATTTTTATTTGCTTTCGCATGTGTGTATGTGTGTGTGTGCTCAGTTGTGTCTGACTCTTTGTGACCCCATGGACTATAGCCTGCCAGGCTCCTCTGTCCATGAAATTTTCCAGGTAAGAATACTGGAGTGGGTTGACATTTCCTTCTCTAGGGGATCTTCCCCACCTATGGATCGAACCTACATCTCGTGTGTCTCCTGCACTGCAGGGGGATTCTTTACTGTTGAGCCACCAGTGTGAAAGTGAAAGTTGCTCAGTTGAGTTCGACTCTTTGCAACTCCATGCACTATACAGTCCATGGAATTATCCAGGCCAGAATACTGGAGTGGGTAGCCCATCCCTTCTCCAGGGGATCTTCCGGACCCAGGGATCAAACCCAGGTCTTTCTCATTGCAGGTGATTGTTTACCAGCTGAGCCAAGGAGAAGGCCCTTATTTCCCTTAATGAGTTTCAAAGATAACAGTAGGGGGTTTTCTCCCTTAAAAGTAATAGTTATCTCATTTCAGGCCACTTGGGTTCTAAGCAATCTAAATTCCCAATTGTGTGTGCATGTGCTCAGTCATGTCCGACTCTCTGCGACCCCATGGACTGTAGCCCACCAGGCTCCTCTGTCCATGAAATTTTCCAGGCAAGAACACTGGAGTGGGTTGCCATTTCCTACTCCAGGGGATCTTCTCCATACAGGGATCAAATCCACATCTCTAGCGTCTCCTGTGCTACAGGCAGATTCTTTACCTCTGAGCCACCAGGGAAGCTCTTAAATTGCCAATTAATCTCACCCAAATATACATACCCAGTTTTTATTCTGTTCACAAGTGAAACCCTAACCTAAATACCTCAAATGTAATTTCAGGGGAAACATACTGTTCAAAAACCTAGATAATGCATTCCTTTGTTGATGCTAAATATAGTCATCTCAAGATGACATACATTTTGACAATGATCAGTCTTACATATCAAATTTTCAAAAATAGCACAGATTCCATTTTCAAGTGAGCAGGAAAAATTGCTATTCTCTACATTTCAGTTTTAAATGGATTTAAAAGTGTGACTCTTTCATGAAAATGGAATTACATCAATACTGTATTAAGGTAAACTGGATTTTAAAGAATCTTGTGGTTTTTACTTTGGGCTCTTTAAGGGAATCACTGCAGATAAACTACAGAGTTGCCCACATTTTTCTTTAAAATATTCCAGTTAAAATACAAAATATTTTTAAAAAATAGGGGGCTAATAGCTGGGAGAATCTTAATTAGCTACATTAAATAATGTAAGTTCATTTATACTAAGTATGTGCGTGTGCTCAGTCCTGTCAGACTCTTTGGGACTCCATGCAGCCCTCCCAGGCCCCTCACTTCATGGGATTCTTCAGGGAGGAATACTGGAGTGGGTTGCCATGCCCTCCTCCAGGAGATCTTCCCCACCCAGGGATCGAACCTGGGTCTTCTGCCTCTCCAGCCTTGGCAGGTGGGCTCTTTACCACTGAGCCCCTTGGGAAGCCTTATTACTAAATATACCTCCTCAAAAAAAAAAAAAACAAAACCCTTGTCCCTCAATTTAATTAATTATTCACTTTCCCACCCTACTGGACTTCAAAACTGAAAAGAATTTCAGAGACTTACGTGTATTCTGTGTTTTCTGACAGCAGAAATTTAATCTGTAAAAGGATTATCAGGGGGAAAGTAAGGCAATTCATTCAACGACGGGTGACTAAGACGGCATAAATACTTAAGTTGATTTAATCATGCTACCCAACACATAGTTATGCTGTGACTCGAAGACCCGTGGGCCCACACATGAATTCATTAACAAAATTTAGCTGGTGAATGATGATGCTCCAGTTGCTTCGCTCATGGAACTGATTTCTTTCTTTCTTTTTTTTTTTTTTAATTTCTTTCTTATTATGGCTTATTTCTTTTCTCTACCTGCCTCCTACCCAAGGACAGACATTTTGTTAGGACATATCCTTATGCTATTTTTATCTTGTTCTCCTTCTGTCCTCTCTCTCTCCCTCCTTCCCCCCACCCCGCTTTCCAACTCTTTGTTCACATTCTGGACCTTAAATAAATATGAAATGAAGACCTTGAAGCCATCAACGAACCTCTGAGCTTGGCTATTTTCTTTACAAAAGCCATTAATAATTTTTTTATTTTAGCATTTGTAGAGCGTTTCACAGTTTACAAACACAGCTGGAATGGCTTGGCGTTTTTAAAGAGCTTATAGTCAAAGGAAATCTCGAGGGGTGATTCCATCACTCATTCCAAGTTCAGCTCTAGCTGCACAACTCCCAACATCCGACCTCGGACAGAACCGCGAAAAACTAGTTTGGAGGGAAGGGGCAGACGACGAGTAGTTAAATCACACCTCACTGCCCAGCCTCCCACTGGGACAGATGGGGAATGATTTCTCTTAAAGACAGCAGGCAGTGCCGGCGGACTAGGAGACAGCGCTGGGGGCACGTGGTGGGGGAGGACGCGGCACTTTACCTGCCGGGCCCACTGGGACCGAGCAAGGGGTCGGGAGCCCGCTCCAGTCACAGAGGATCACTCCCGGAGGATCACTGCCTGCGGGACCCAGAAAGCTCCCGAAACTGCACACATAGGGCGCAAGCTGAGCTGAAGCTGCGGAGCTGGGCAGAGATGTCGCGGCCAGAATCTGCCCAAGGCCGGTGACCGCATAGAGCCAGTCAGGCCGCCCCGGCCCGCCGCGCGCCGCGCGGGGCCCGGGGATGCGGCTCCGAGGGCCGGTTCGCTCGCGCCGGGGACCAGCACGTCCACACAGCTGGATGGACCCCGGCCAGGAGCCGCGGCGCGCGTCCCCGCAGCCCCCGCCAGTCGCCCAAGGGGAGCCGACAGCTCGATCTCGGCCGCCCCAGTCCCACGTTCCCCCGACTCCTCTCACCCTCCTCAAGAAGGCGACACGCGAAGGTCCTGGGTGCGCGCGGGGAGGCTGTGCGCGTCGGGCGCCGGGGTGTAGGCAGGGGTCCGGGTGCTCCAGCCGCCGCTCCAGCCGCTGCGATCTCTCTGGCCGCCGCCGCCACCGCCCGCTCCAACAGCAAGTTTCCATAAAAGTCCTGGTGCGCAGCCTGTTCCCGCATTCCAGGCGGGCCCAGCGCCGGCTGCAGCTGTTCCAAAACACGAGGCCAGTTCCCCCAACCCCCGCCTCCGCCGTATCGCCCGGAGAGGGGTGGAGAGTCGAGAAAGAAGGCGGGCGAGGGGGGCGGTGGCTGCCAACTTTCCGCCGGACCTGCCGGTCGCCCGACTCTGGATCCCCGAGCTGACCCCCTCCCCTCGGGTCCGCCTCCGCGTCCCGGCGGGCTCCGGGGAAAGGAGGCTGCCTCCCCAGTGAGGAACAGGAGCTACTGGAGTGGGATTCGGAAACAGGCTGCAGCTGCCTTCCCTCTAGCCACTAACGGTTTGCGCTAGGGCCTGCTTCTCAGCTAGCTATCGGTTCTGGGGTCTCAGTAGCCAAACCACCACCTCATCTTCATCCAAAGCGTCGCCCCTCGGCCGGCTTTCCTTTTATTGTTGAGAGCAGAGCGCAGCAGACCGGGGACCACTTCATCTGTCTGTTGCTCTCCTTCTCTTAGTTCTGGTCTTTCACTCTCAACAGAATGGTTGATAGAGAATAAGTGGGCGAAAGAGAGGATGCGAAAGAGGGGTGGACGGGGAGGAGGAGGCATAAAAAGAAATAAGATTTTTATAATATTCCAGTTTTCCTTAACTGAGGACAAATCATCTCTGGTCTTTCTAAATCCATATTAAGGCGTCTTGCAAATATTAGCACCAGCTAACTGAATATTAGAACTAAATTGAGGGACTTCCCTGGTGGTCCAGTGGTTAAGACTTCACCTTCCAATATAGGGGGTGCAGGTTCGATCCCTGGTCGGGAAGCTAAGATCCCACATGCCTTGCAGCCGAAAAGCCGAAACAAAACAGAAACAGTATTGTAACAAATTCAATAAAGATTTAAAAAAAAAAAAAGAACTAAATTGAATATTTTCAATTTGGACCACCAGCCTGTCAGTTAAAGCCATCAGACAGTCCATATTAAACCCTGAAATACTCATTTAATGGGGACATTTTCCTGGTGGGGGAGATCTTCAAGTCTTCACTGCATGCATAAGATGAATATCAACTTAATGAATGAATGAATAAACAAAATTGAACTAGCATCTACACAAACCAGGGACAACCACCTCCAACTTCTAGCGCTGGAAAGACAGTGGTGCTCAGGTTACATTTTCAGAGATGTTGAAAAGGCCTTCTGGTCTTAACTATAACCTTCTTTCTCCACCCCGTCCCCATACACTATTTACTCAGGATGGCAATTCTTTTAAGAGGTATAAGCCATTTATTCTTAAATTACAGGAAAGTTCTACATCGGTAATAAAAAACAGCTGTTTAAACTTGTTCTCTTGCTCCCTTCAATACCATCACCCTGACCTTCAATTCATGGAATTTTCTGTGGTCACTCTAGTTGCCGGGCCTTTGCACAAGCTGTTCCCCCTGTATGAAATTCTTTCCCTAGACTCTTAACCTACCTAAATTCAACACATGCTTTTGCTCTGCTTATATGTTGCTTTCTCAGAGCAGTCTTCCTTTCACCCCAATCTGTATCAGTCCCTGGGCTCTCAATGTGGCTCACCAATAAAGAATCCACCCACAATGTGGGAGAAACAGGTTTGAGCCCTGGGTCAGGAAGATCCCCTGAAGTAGGAAATGACAACCCATTCCAGTATTCTTGCCTGGAAAATTCCATGGAGAGGAGTCTGGGCTGCAGTCCATGGGATCACAAAGAGTTGGACACAACAGCATGCATGCACGTTATCAGTCCCATTACAAATTCTTATTCCACTCTTCCTCCCTACACTTACCAATTTATAATTACACATTTATATTTATGACTTAAAGAAGTGAGTAGAAACTCTCCTAAAAGATCTACTCAGCAGATTCACCAGACACAACAAAGCTCTTCATTCCATAAACTTTGCTAGCTACCCATAGCATGCAAAGCTGTGTCTTCTCCCCTCGATTCATCATTCACTCACTCAACAAATATTTAGTTCTACTTAGGATACACCAGTCACAAAACAAAAAGCCCTGCCATCATATGGCATACATTCTAATGGAACAGGACAGACAATAAACAGATAAACAGCTTAGTAATAAGCAATAGAGATAAAGCAGAGCAGAAAAGTAGGAAATGCTGGCAATAGAATGGCTGGCTATTACCCCTTTGGATAAGAGTTTAGAGAAAGCCTCATATGAGAAAAGCCTATGAGCCATGTAAATATCTGGAGATCTCTGGGAGAAGATTGGTCCAGGAGGAAGTGTAAAGGCCCCATGAAGGATGCTATCTAACATATTCTAGAAAGAACAAGAAGGCCATGTGGACGAAGCTAAGTAGCTCAGTTCAGTTCAGTCACTCAGTCATGTCCAACTCTTTGCAACCTCATGAACCGCAGCAGGCCAGGCCTCCCTGTCCGTCACCAACTCCTGGAGTACACCCAAACCCATGTCCATTGAGTCAGTAATACTATCCAACCATCTTATCCTCTGTCGTCCCCTTCTCCTCCTGCCCTCAATCTTTCCCAGCATCAGGATCTTTTCAAATGAGTCAGCTCTTCACATCAGGTGGCCAAAGTATTGGAGTTTCAGCTTCAAAATCAGTCTTTCCAATGAACACCCAGAACTGAGCTCCTTTAGGATGGACTGGTTGGATCTCCTTGCAGTCCAAGGGACTCTCAAGAGTCTTCTCCAACACCACAGTTCAAAAGCATAAATTCTTTGGCACTCAGCTTTCTTTATAGTCCAAATCTCACATCCATACATGACCACTGGAAAAACCATAACCTTGACTAGACAGACCTTTGTTGGCAAAGTAATGTCTGCTTTTTAATATGTTATCTAGGTTGGTCATAACTTTCCTTCCAAGGAGTAAGCATCTTTTAATTTTATGGCTGCAGTCACCATCTGCAGTGATTTTGGGGCCCAAAAAATAAAGTCAGCCACCTGTTTCCACTCTTTCCCCATCTATTTGCCATGAAGTGAGGGGACTGGATGCCATGATCTTAGTTTTCTGAATGTGGAGCTTTAAGCCAACTTTTTCACTCTCCTGTTTCACTTTCATCAAGAGGCTCTTTAGTTCTTCTTCCCTTTCTGCCATAAGGGTGGTGTCATCTGCATATCTGAAGTTATTGATATTTCTCCCGGCAATCTTGATTCTAGCTTGTGCTTCATCCAGCCCAGCGGTTCTCATGATGTACTATGTATATAAGTTAAATAAGCAGGGTGACTATATACAGCCTTGAGGTACTCCTTTTCCTATTTGGAACCAGTCTGTTGTTCCATGTCCTGTTCTAACTGTTGTTTCCTGACCTGCATACAGGTTTCTCAAGAGGCATGTCAGGTGGTCTGGTGTTCTGATCTCTTTCAGAATTTTCCAGTTTATTGTGATCCACACAGTCAAAGGCTTTGGAATAGTCAATAAAGCAGAAATAGATGTTTTTCTGGAACTTTCTTGCTTTTTCAATGATCCAGCGGATGTTGGCAATTTGATCTCTGGTTCCTCTGCCTTTTCTAAAACCAGCTTGAACATCCGAAAGTTCACAGTTCATGTATTGCTGAAGCCTGGCTTAGAGAATTTTAAGCATCACTTTGCTAGTGTGTGAGATGAGTGCAATTGTACGGTAGTTTGAGCATTCTTTGGCATTGCCTTTATTAGGGATTGGAATGAAAACTGACCTTTTCCAGTCCTGTGGCCACTGCTGAGTTTTCCAAATTTGCTGGCATATTGAGTGCAACATTTCACAGCATCATCTTTCTAGCTAAATAGGCAAAGGGTGAAATAAGACCAAGTGGAATGGGGCAGGAGACTGACTGTGAGAAACCTTTTTCACATTGTAAGGACTTTGGCTTTTACTCTGAGTAAGATGTGTGACCATCGGTGGATTGTGAACAAAGCAGTGACATGATGTATTTTTAACATGTCAGTCTGGCTAGAGTGAAGTGAAAGTCGCTCAGTCGTATCCAACTCTTTGTGACCCCATGGACAGACTATACTGTCCGTGGAATTCTCCAGGCCAGAATACTAGAGTGGGTAGCCTTTCCCTTCCCCAGGGGATATTCCCAACCCAGGAATCAAACCCAGGTCTCCCACATTGCAGGCCAATTCTTTACCAGCTGAGCCACCGGGGAAGCCCAAGAATACTGGAGTGGGTAGCCTATCCCTTCTCAGAGGATCTTCCCGACCCAGGAGTTGAACTGGAGTCTCCTGCATTTATTGCCAGCGGATTCTTTACCAGCTGAGCCACAAGAGAAGTCCTCAGTCTGGCTGATGTGCTGCAAATACACTAAAATGAAGCAGGGAGACCAATTAGGAGACTTTCCAAATAATCGTGATGACAAGCAATGGGAGTCTGGGCCCAGGTTGTAGTTCTGAAGGCTATGAGAAATGCTTGGTATATTTTTTTCTTGGTACTTTGGAAAAGTGGAACTGGTAGGATTTTGGTAACAGATTGAGTATGAAATGTGAGGAAAAGAAGTTTTGGCCTGAGGAACTGGAAAAATTGAGTTGTCATTTATTAGGACGAGAAAGACTGGGAGGGTTTAAGCAGGTGTGGATAGGAGCT